CTCGCTCCGCTCCAGTCATTACAGTTCTTCTACGTTTCGATGCCATGATCTACACGACGTAAGTGAATAAAGTTAAAATCTTTGGCAATTGCAGTAAAACGCACGCCAATAAAAAGTCACTTACACGTCTGTTTCGAATCTGATGAATGAAAACGGCGAAGCGAACACGTTTCTTCGGTCGTGTCGAGTGGGTGCTGCTTTTAGCTAGTGCCGCGTTCTACAGGACGTTAAGTGAATAAAGTTAAAATCATTCATAATTACAGTAAAACGCACGGCAATAAAAACTCACTTTACACATCGTCGTTTCGAATCTGATGATCGAAAAACGCGAAGTGAAAATGTGTCTCAGCATCGTGTCTTTCCGTAGCATCGGGTGGGCGTTGCGTGTATTTAAGCTCCCGCGGCATGACGTCTCAATCCGGGTTACGGGTAGTGGAATTTCCGCTTACGTAAGTTCTGGTAACATGAAATATCGTCGTCAAAATGTTAATGCATAGGTTTTTGTTCCGGGTGAAGGAAATTCCTTTTCATAGAATTCCGGGGATGTTTACTCATTTAGCAAGACTAATAAGAAATGCATCTCTTCACTTCCTACCGCCATTTTTTCAGTGATGACAGACTTGTGCTCGTCACTCAAGTCCTGTTCAATGATACAGTCATGAAGTTGACTCAGGATCTGTGTGGCTGCATAGCCTTCATTCACCATGCTCTGACGAAGAAAAGTTTTGACATGAGAAGATGTGAAGTGAGGCCTTGTATGACTTAGTCACATTTTACAACCTACCATGACTGCAAACTCTTGTTTCTCAAAACTTCCTTTCAAGCAGACCTGAAGCAAATCGTTGATCATCTTGGTTGGAACAACCTGCAATAGAGTATAACAATATTTGCATTAAATTTCTGTTTGCATCGTTTTGGCGTTTACAGTGCTTTGTGAATCTGAAAGACCAGCAACTCATGTCAGGTTCATGCATCAGATGCCTGAACTACCGTATTTTCCGCACTATAGGGCGCACCAAAAAGTCTTCCATTTTCTTAAAAGCTCACCGAGCGCCTTAAAATCCGGTGCGTCTTGTTTATGGTCATGACGGTAATACTCGACTACAAGATGGCTCCTTCCTGGAGACATGCTTCCAATGTTATAACTTGCTGTTGGTTCAGTGAACTGTGTCGCTGCTTTAAAAGTTTGTGTTGCAGCTCCGAAAAAAGGAGAGCTGTGGTGTTATTTTTTTAAAACAGTCTCAACAAATACAGGTACGTCTTTGTCTGTCTCTGTGCCTTCTTCCGTTCGACTCGAGAGGCGTTCAAGACCGCCTCCGAAAAACGTAAACTCACGATTACTTCAATGAAACTACAAAAATTTAAAATAATACATCAAAACTGAAAAGCAAGCGAGGATATCACAAAATAAATTCTATAGCCCCCGCCCTACAGAATTTATATTGTGATTTCATCATTTGTGAATACACAACAAAGGAATAAATAACTATGACTGACATCTGATCGTACTGTTGGAGCTACGATCAAGGAAATGCTAATGCGTTTTTCGGAGGCGGTCATGAACGCCTCTTGAGTTGACCGGAAGAAAAGAAGGCACGGAGACGGACAAAGACGCACCTGTATTTGTTGAAAAAAGAAGAGCTGTGGTTGTGGTTTTATTTTTATTTTTTTTAAAACGCAGACTTTATTAATGGTTTTCACAGTCTCAACAAATACAGGTACTGTACGTCTTTGTCCGTCTCCATGCCTTCTCTTCCATTCCACTCGAGAGGCGTTCATGGCCGCCTCTGAAAAACGTAAATTAATTATTACTTCAATGAAACCACGAAGAAAATCAAGCGAGGAAATCACAAAATAAATTCTGAAGGGGGGATATAGAATTTATTTTGTGATTTCCTCGCTTGATTTTCTGTTTTGATGCATTATTTTCAATTTTCGTAGTACAATAATAGTTAATTTACATTTTTCAGAGGCGGTCATGAACGCCTCTCGAGTTGAACAGACGCCTCTCAAGTTGAATGGAAGGAGTGTAGCACCATCTAGTGGAAGCATTGTAGATTGCGCCTTATAATGCAAAGCGTCCAATGTATGAAAAAGATTTACAAAATAGCCATTCATTGAACGTGCGCCTTATAATCCAGTGCGTCTTTTAGTGCGGAAAATACGGAAATTATTTTACACTATTTTGAACCCAACCAGCCATTTTCAGACCCTTTTTTAACCCTAACTCTTGAAAAACATAAGTGCATAGCTGGGATTGAATCTGTAGAGTCTAAATAGACAGATATTTTTTGTTTCTGTAATACTTAAAACAAATAAAGTCTCACTTTCATCACGATTTGCAGCTGATCCAGTATCGGTTGAAAAAAGAATTGGTTTTATTAATTTTATTAACATTACATGTCACAAAGTAACAAAATAATCCAAAGGTACAAGTGGGACTGTATCTTGGTTTTATATGACACAACGTTTCCTTATGTTATGACAGTGCTGTCACTGTCATTTTGCATTCCAACAAAAGAATCATACAATTCGTGGTTGAGGTGTTTCCACACCAACTTAGGCTGGTGCAGTCCTAACCAAGCCTTGTTGTCTGAACTGATAAACCTACTTGCATGAGAGTCGAATCATCATCGAAAACAAACAGAGCAGTCCTGGCGCCCTGTAGGTTAATGACACTCATAGTGGTCATTGGTAACTTAGCCATTCAGCAATTGTTAGGATTAATGCTAATAATTGCTTGAAAATGTTCCTGCATTTACCCAGCCAACAGTTTGCACTGGCTTGTGTCCCCTGTAGGGCTTCACTGATAACATGGATGAAAATAAAATCATTTAAATAACTCAACAAAGCTAATCTTTTGCTCCACAACTTGATTCCTCAAGAAAGCCAAGGAGAGCACATTTCCCCCTATGATTGACAGTAGTGAGCAACACAGAAAGGCAATTGCTTATCAAATCTGCCTCAAAGGTTATGGATTCGAATCTGGGCTTGGACCTTTCTGTGCAGGGGTTGTATGTTTTCCCACGTGCTTGAATTGGTTTTGGTTCGCTTTCCTCTCAATCATCCATTCATCCATTCATCTATTTTCTGATCCGCTTTTCCTCACAAGGGTCATGGGGCGTGTTGGAGCCTATCCCAGCTGTCTACGGGTAGGAAGTGGGGTACACCCTGAACTAGGTTGCCAGCCAATCGCAGGTAGGACATACATAGACCAGAGATGAAAGTGGACTTTCCCGAAAATTAATGAAAAAATATGAATAAATCAAAAAAAATTATATATATATATATAGGCGGCTGGATAGCTCAGTTGGTAAGGCATCGGTTTGGCGTACGGGAGACGGTGGTT